GTTCATCGAGCTTTTCAACGGCTCGGTCTTTCTCTTGAAGTACTTGGCTATACTGAGCTAGCCCTTCTTTTTCTTTGTGGCGTAGCTCAGAGAGACTTTTGGTGAGTCTCTTGTTGGCCTCTCGCTCTTGGCGGATGTCTAACCGAGCCTTGAGGAGCCCTTCCGACAACTCCTTGATCGTTTGAGCCTGCTTAGCTGATTCGGCCTCAAGGTGTGCCGTTTTGGCGGTTATCTCTTGCAGTTGGCTATCCGAACTAGTTCTGGCAGTTTTGGATGTTCGGATAGCTTGTTCGTTAGCGTCGGCACATTGGTCCTTGAGGCGCTCTATTTCATGATCCTTTTTCTTGCCTTGCCTTCGCAGACCATCAATCGTGAGGATAGATTCTTGCTCTTTTTCCTCAAGGGCCCTCATCTGGGCTCCCATGATCTCTATCCTCTGGGTCAAGGCGTCGATTTGAGTTTGCAGCCCTTCATTTCTGGCGCTCATAGTGGGTGTGGTGGATGATTGAACCACTCCTCTTCTATTTCTCCATGCCTCATAGTCACTGGTGACAGCCACCCGAGCTTTTCCTAGCTCTCTGTCTCCCATGTAGACTAGCCTCTCCCATGCTTTTCTCACAGCTAGTGAGTTGGCGATGGTGCATGGGTCTCCAAAGAAGCACAGTCCTCCGAGATCCCCTCGGGAAATGGTAGTTTGGGTCCTCATGAGCTGTCTCATAGCTACTTTAGGTGAGTAAGCTATGCAGCCCCTGAGTCCTATCAAGGGTACACTCAGATAGTCCCCACATCTGATGAGAACTGGGTCGGGTCAGAACCAAGGACAGACCCAGGATATACTGTTGGCGTCCTTGCGTTCCCACTAATCCCTCCATTCTGAGGTCAGACGACGCTGGAGGGGGATCTTGGAGAAACTTCTCAAAGGGTCGGGGAATATCCCCATGTGACTGGAGGCGTACAGGTGAGTGGCGCTCCACACAAATAGCAATGAAGAGCAGCAACGGAGTATTTTGCCCTACTTCTGGTGACAAAATTCCACCGAGAGCAGGGTGTCGGCAAGAATAGCAGGCAGGGGACTTTTCGAATTCACGTCCCAGGCGAAGAAGGCGTCCATGACGGCCTGATCTATTGTGTCGAAATGGAAGGGGAACAAGACTGTTCCAAAAATTATGAGTGCCAGGGTTTTGTTAAAGGCAACCCACTATGTCCGTTCAGCCCAGGTAGGACAGGTGGTCTTCTAACATCGTTACTTTCCAACCCCGGGTGTTCCCCTTCTTTATCCGGTACTCTGCGGTAATGGCAACTCGAATAAGGGCAACTGACCGGTGCTGCGCGGAGTATATGCTTCGTGGCGACGTGGACCCCTCGATTTGGGTCACCTCAACATGGTATCATACTCCTCTAGGGTGGGCACCAAGTCGAACCTGCGAAACTCGAAACATCGCAGATTTGGATTCCAGGAGTGGATCAGTGCCCTTAGGAACACCTGATCGACACATATCTTTAGGAGGTCTAAAATCCGTCCGTAGGATTTTTCGAAGTCTCGCAGACCTCCGATGGCATTATTGTGCTTAGCCACTCCAACCTCTCAGTATGGAAACGGGGAATGTCCACCTTCTTTGTTTGCCTACTTGTCCCCTCCATTTCTAAAATCAAAATGTATTTTTGATGAAATGGATGCTTATTTGAATGTATGTGAGTGTTTATTTTCTATTTATCATGTTTTTCTACATGATGTTTGCGTATTTTGATTTTGAAAGAATAAACTATCTATATGAATGTTTTATGAGTATAATTTTTTTGGACCAGGTCTTATTTACAGACTTTGGAAAAATGGATTTTATTTTTTATTTGTTTGTTTATTTTATAGCCTTTTATCTCTTCTGTCGGAATTGCGTGGCTACTTAGCTTACAAAGAACCTGAAACCAGGCTAGCTAAAAGGCAGACTGTCCGAGATAAAATGTGGCTTTATGTGAAAGAATATTTAACGTCCCTTATCTCTTCTGTCGGAACTGCGTGGCTACTTAGCTTACAAAGAACCTGAAACCAGGCTAGCTAAAAGGCAGACTGTCCGAGATAAGAGTGTTTATTTGTGAAAAATATATTTTGGTTTTTGTTGTTTGTTTGTTTGTTCATGCTATGCAACAGACAAATGCAACAAACATATGCACACACAATTCGATCATCCCCGAACAGGCGAGATTTCGTTTTTATCACGAGGTAGGGTTTTCCTGCAGAAAAGTGCATTGGCAAGGGTTGGTTCTAACTGTTCTCACCAGGCTAAGGCCCCCAAGGTGCCCCCATTATAGGGTCCCCACTCTCCAGCCGTCCGACCATGCTTAGCACTAAGGCCATAATCAGTCTTGTTGCCAAAAGAGGAAGGTTATCACCTTGAGTGGTGGTTTCCGATCACACTGGTGGGCTCAAGGCCCTCACTACAGCGAACCGTACCTGCCACCCACTCCCTATGGTTATCTCACTTGCCCCCGGGTATAGGGGGAACTGTAGTGTGCAAGGGATTGTGTACAGTTTGTATATCAATCAATTTGCGTAAGTATAAACAAACAACAGTTTATTAAAGCCAAACATTAAAACATGTTATAATACAAGTTAAGGGCAAAAGTGTTATTTTCTTGGTTTATTTATTATTTTAGCTGACCCATCACTAAATGGGATCAACTCTCGAGGCTTCCCCAGTGGAGTCGCCATCTGTCGCCGTCGTCTCAAAAAAGAAGGTCGGTCGGAGCGACGCGATGGTTTTTCGACCCTTTTGATTTTCGCGTTTTTTATGGGTGGTTACAACGCCTTTAGGTTGTCCGATAACCGGGCTAACCTAGGGGCGAGGTTTTCAAAAGGTGTCCTTGGATTGTCCGATAACCGGGCTAACCCAAGGACTTATTTATTTTGGGTTCTATGGAGTTGCCACCGATGTTTTTACCAGAAACATCGGAAAAGGTTTTTAAAAGGCGTTGGTTTTCAAAAACCAACTTTGGTCATTAGAACCAGAGTTGGGTAAGGGAGTTAGTTACGTGTAAAGAGAGTATTAGTCCCTTTACGACGCCCCTTTCGGGTTCCCTATGATAGGCCAGCTTTTATTGTTAATAAATAAACCGAAAAATATACTTTTGCCCTTTTTATTATGCGGATTTTAAAGTGATGACTACATGGCCCTAATCTATTGCATAATTAAAATTAAAGCGTTAAAAGTAGAGAGGACGAAATTAAACCTCCGAAGCAAGCTTTTTATATTTCTCTTGAAAAAGAGGGTGCTTTTTGGCAGCCCTTCACTCTACAAGACGTCGGAAACTCTTCTAGACGCCGAAAAATGCTCTCAAATACACTCAGAAACTCTGGCAATGCGTCGGAGGGATTCTAGAGAGAAGTTTTTAGAGAGAAGGCAGAGCTAATGCTTAAGGTGTGTGGAAATGAGGGGGGGGAGGCCCCTATTTATAGGTTTTCGCGCCTGAGAGTGGTGAGACCGCCGTTCTCGTCTGATAGGGTTGAGACCGACGTCTCGCCCAATGAGACCGCCGTCTCGCCCAACGAGACCGCCGTCTCGCCCAACGAGACCGCCGTCTCGTCCTGCGCGGATGGCGAGACCACCATCTCGCCAAACGAGACCGCTGACTCGCCATTCGCAGGTGGCGAGACCACCGTCTCATCAAACGAGACGGCGGTCTCGCCACTTGCCTGAGGCGAGACGGCAGTCTCGATTTCGAGATGGCGGTCTCGTCCCAAAGAGGCGAGGAAACTTATTTTCGTACGAAAAATCCTTCCTATCCTAGTATGGGGGCCTAATAGTCTCTCCTAGTGGCTTTTTAGGCTTCATCCATCTTCGAATAGGAGGTCTTCTACTCTTTATTTGGAGGCCGGGCAAGATTTGGGGTCTACAACAAGGCTTTAAAAGAAAATTTTGATCATCATCAAAAAGGGGGAGATTGTTGAACATACAAGGACTTGATGTTGAACTTTCATGGACATGAAGCTTGTTGATTTTGATGATGATTCAAGAACAAAGAACTTAGAGTGTTGAAGACTTGTATTGTTGTGTAATAACTCTGTTTTGATGAGTTTAAGTCTGTAATATTAGAGTTTAAGATAACCGGTACATAATCTACTCTTTAGAAGCTTCAAAAACTCATATTTATCAGTTAGCCTCGGGTTTAATCGATTAAAGCATCAGATAATCGATTATTACAGTGAGAAAAACCATTTTATATATCTATTCACTGTAATAATCGATTAACACACCTGTTAATCGATTAACAGGCTAGTTAATCGATTAAAACAGAGAGTTTTGGGGTTCTGTTGATTTTGGCTCTGTAATAATCGATTAACACTTCATTTAATCGATTATTTCAATCAGATTTTGATTTTCAACTTCAAATTAAACCTATTTTCGAAAACCCTAATCCCAATACTCCTAGTTCCAAAAATCCCCAATTCCCAAACCCTAATTTCTCTACTTAAGGTTCTCTAAGGCTCTCAGAAAATTGAACAACCTTTTTCAAACAAAAGTTAAGTGTTGTGAGTGCCAGAGAACTATTTGTTGGAGGAAAAAGGGGCTTTTGGAACCTGGTGTGGGCTAGAAGCGATAAGAATCACTAAGTGGAGTTCTTAGTGGATTGTGTGTTGTGCCGTCTCTGGGGAAAGTTGTTCTTCATCTCTTGTGGGTTTCAAGAGAGGAGTTTTCTTTACTTTGTATTTTCAATTGTTATCTGTTTGTAACAACTTTGATTATAGTGACAGCGTTAATCCTCTATTTGAGTGATTAGCAATTGGACGTAGGGTCTTTTGATCCGAACCAGTATAAATCTCCTGTGTAAGACTCTATCTCTATTCTATTTACGTTTACACAGTATTTTAATCGGTAAAATTTGGGGAAAATTTTTAAAACCTAATTTTTGTTAAGAAATCAATTCACTCCCCTCTTAGTTTTTGTCCGACCATGCGAACATTCCGCTCGTGCCACCTCCACCCTCAAATCCTAGCCACACCCAGTCTACCACCGTGGGTCACCTAGATCACCGCGCGACCAGCCATCACGGACTTTGGTCGCGCCACAAGCATCCCCCACTCTCCTCAACCCAATCATCGTAAACCACCCAAGCCCTAGCCATGTCGCACAACCAACTTCTACCCGTGCCACTAATCCCTCACCACAGCCGGTCTTTATCCTCTCTGAATCGCATCACAGCCGAATCCCAATCCCGCCTGCAACCATCACGGTCATCCCTTTTGCCAATCTTCTCCTCCCCTCTTGACCGCCGCACCAAGCCAGCAACACCGCGAAGTGCCTCGCAGGGTCCCAAATCGCTACGCTGACGACCACTGCAGGCCCTGCTTTTGGGCCACCACGAGTTTCCCCTCCCCCGTAGACCCTTAAGACTCCTCCTCCCTTCTTTCCTTTTTCTGTTCCTTTTAATCCTTCTTATTGATTATTATTTTTGTACACATTGTAGTTTGATTCAGTTTGTATTTTGCTTATTTTGATTGTTAGATTTTCCCATCCTTTCTTCAATGTTGGATCATATCTATTATGGGTAATGGGTCCTTGCATTTTGATTAATATCTATTAAGGACATTAGTCCTTTGGTTTGAGTTCCATTTGTTGTTGTTATGCTGCCGAATTTTTTTCGTTAGGATGATAGGTTATGGTCAAACGCCATAGGTGTTGGGTCGCAATTTATGGGTTAAGAGTTAGGATTTGTGTCTATCATTTCCTTGGGTTTTTCTTATTCGATTTATTTACTCGAGTTATGGGCTCCCGACCCCGCGTTTGATTTTTGGGCTCCTGGCCCTATGTTTGATTTTTGGGCTCTCGGCCCTACGCTCGGTTTAGTGACTATCGATTCTTTAAATAAATTTTGAGGTACGGGTACAACTGCTTGTTGATTTTGATGATGATTCAAGAACAAAGAACTCAGAGAGTTGAAGACTTGTTTTATTGTGTAATAAATCTGTTTTGATTAGTTTGAGTCTGTAATATTAGATTTTAAGATAGCTGGTACATAGTCTGCACTTTAGAAGCTTCAAAAACTCACATTTATCAGTTTGCCTCGGGTTTAATCGATTAAATGGTCAAATAATCGATTATTACAGTGAGAAAAATCATTTTCTATAACTGTTCACTGTAATAACCGATTAACAGGGCTTTTTGTAAGTGATGAAGATCTTATTGAAATTCTCTGACAAAGATTATGTTGATTTGATGAAGTCAAAGATAAAGTCAAAGTCAACTTTGTAGCAGTCAAAAGTCACTTAGATAAAAGAGTAGAGAGATTAGTGTGTCCGCTGCTATGCTTAGGTATAATCAATTTTATCTTTTCTGCTGCATGAGGTTTCTTCACTTAAAAGATTTTGCAAAATGCCTCTAAAATCGTTTAAACAAGTTAAAAACAAAGTATTTTGACAAAAGCTTTCTTAAACAAGTTTTTAACTGATACAGTTTTGAAATAACCGATTAAAATCACTTAGAATGTTCAGAGAAGTGTTTTTGCAGTATTTTAATCGATACAACTTGGTTTTAATCGATTAAATCCACTTAACATTCAGGATGATCGATCAGAATGCAATTATGACCGATCAGAATCAGATATGATCGATCAGAATTGAGTTATGACCGATCAGAGTTTTTTCAATCGATTAAAACAACTTAGAAAATTTCTACACAGCGTTTTAATTGATTAAAACTTATTTTTATCAGTTAAAATAACTTGAAAAGTTTTACAATAAAGTTTTGCAGTATATTAATCGATTGAAACATGAAACAATCGATTAAATCAAATTAGAAGATTTTTTGTAAAGAGTTTTAATTGATACAAACGTTGTCGTATCAGTTAAAATAAATCTGTTAAAGAATCAAGAACGTATTAATGGATTAAAAGAAGTTTTAACATATTTAAACTGCACTTTTAACATATTAAAAGAATCTTTTAACAGATTGATTAAACCAGCAGTTTTGAAAATCTTCTATGAAAACAGTTTGACTTGAACATTTCAAACACAACATTTGAACATCAATCTTAAGCAATCAAGCAAGCAAACTTTAGCATCTTTTCAAGAAAGATTCGCGTCAGTTTTTTGAGAAGTTCTTTGAAAATCTTTCTTGAGGCAACTTGATTTTTCCTGAAGAAGAAACACTTACAGCAGAATTGCATAAACTGGTTTGAGCATTCTAGTTTCTTCTTTTTCATTTCTTTACATTCTTTTTGTATTGTTTGGTGCCTGGAATTTGGGCACTGGTTTCTCTGCAGCTGGAATTTGGTTGTAGAGGTTATCAAGAACTGGAATTTGGTTCTTGGTGAGAGGTTGAGTGCAGGAACTGGAATTGGGTTCTTGTGGTAGATTAAGTGTAAGTTTGTAAAACATTTGATCTAGTGGAACCCAGCTGGAATTTGGTTGGAGACTCGACGTAGCCCTGGTATTGGGTGAACCAGTATAAAACACCGGTGATATCTTTCTTAACCTTTCTCTCCTTTAATTCTGTCGCTGCGTTTATATTTGATTGATTGCTTTGTGATTCAAGAACAGATCTGAAATCTTATTTTTACAAATAGATAATCTGTTATTTGCGAAAAACTTTCAAAGATCAATTCACCCCCCCTCTTGATCTAAAACTACTTTTCTAACAATTGGCATCAGAGCGAGGTGCTTGAAAGTTATTCAAGTTCTTCGATCCATGGCTGAAAACAAATTACCGTTTTCTGAGGGAGCTTCTATTAACAGACCTCCACTATTTTGTGGAACAGATTATCCTTTTTGGAAAATTAGGATGAAGATCTTTATTGAATCCATTGATAGAAATGTTTGGGATGTAATTTCTAATGGCCCTTTAATTACAGAAAAAGAATGGTCCAGTCTAAATGATGAGGAAAAGAAAAAAGTTCAAAATGATTGCACTGCTAAAAATATAATTACTTCTGCACTTAACATGGATGAGTTTTTCAGGGTATCCCAATGCAAATCTGCCAAGGAGATGTGGGATGTTCTTGAGGTTACTCATGAAGGGACAGCGGATGTAAAGAGAGCCAGAAAGCATACTCTCATAAGAGAATATGAGTTGTTCAAAATGCAAACTGGTGAAAGTATTGCAGATGTGCAGAAGCGATTCACTCACATCATTAATCATCTAATGGGCCTAGGTAAAACCTTTGATAAAGAAGAATTAAATATTAAAGTCTTGAAATGTCTTGACAGGTCTTGGCAGCCAAAGGTCACAGCAATTTCAGAGTCAAAAGATCTGTCCGTAATGACAACAACTTCTCTGTTTGGGAAACTCAGAGAACATGAAATGGAAATCAACAGATTTAATGAACAAGAAGTCTCTGAGAAGAAAAGCAGAAGTATAGCACTTAAAGTTGAAGAAAAAAATCAAGAATCAGAGGAGGAAAGTGAGAACCTTGGACTGCTTGTCAGGAAATTCAACAAGTTTCTCAAGAAAAAGATTCAAGACAAGGAAAAACATAAAAGGTATGAGAAAAAAACTGATTCTTCTAACTTTAAATGCTATGGCTGTGGTAAGCAGGGCCATGTAAGGATGGAGTGCCCAGAAAAGAACAAACATAATGACAAGAAAGAAGAGAAAGTCAAAAGAAGAGCCTATATAGCATGGGATGACAATGACACTTCATCAACAGACAATTCTGATAATGAAGAAGCCAACTTATGTCTAATGGCAAGTCAAAATCCTTAATCCAGCAGTGTAAGTTCTAGTTCTTCTTCAAATTTAGTGAATTATAATTCATTACAAGAAGCATTTAATGAAATGCATGAAGAGGCTAAGAAACTACAAAAAGAAAATGATAGGCTAAAAGGATTGAATAATTGGCTAGTAAATAAAGTAGACTCTCTTGAAAAGAGAATTCTTAAAGATGAAACTGATTGTGATTTCTTAAAATTAATTCATGATAATTCTGATTGTGCATGTAATAAACCCTGTAATAATTGTTCAGAATTACAAAAGAAAATTGATTTTTTATCAGAAACCGTTTCAAGGTTTACACAAGGTCAAGCTAATCTTGACGTTTTACTTGGGTCACAAAAACTAATTTTTGACAAATCTGGCATAGGATTTGAATCTAGGATGAAATTCAGAAAAACAAATGTAAATAGGAAATCATACTCTGTGATTAAATGTTTTTACTGCATGAAAAGAGGTCATTCAGTAAAATACTGTAGAATTAAAAAGTATGCTATTCCTAAAGGAAGAATGAAATGGATTCCAAAGTTAAAGTCATTTCAAATAACCTAATTGGACCCAGTAACTATAAAGGGTACCAAAAACATATTAAATTTGTTTTGCAGGAACAAAATCTGGGAATGCCTTGGAGTTCAAAGCAGCGAATCAGGTTCTGTTTTCATAAACTGATTGTTTTAATTGATATAAAACAGTATTAATCGATTAAAATAACTTACAGAGGATATCAGAAAATCTGTCCGTACCATTTTAATCGATTAAAATGTCGAATTAATCGATTGAAATGTTCTCAGGATTTAAGTTTAGTTGTTTTAATCGATTAAAAAGAATTTATATCAACTAAAAATACTAAGATGTAAAATTTAATTGATTCCTTTTCGTTTTAATCGATTTAAATTCTGTTATCATTTTATTAATTTCATCCTTTACAAGAATTAATCGATTCCTTTATGAAATAATCGATTATTTCACTGTAACAGTTTCAAACCTAATATTAAAAGATCAAATTAATAGGTTAATCGATTGATTTGTTTCTAAAAATTAGTTTTATAACATCCAATTAAAGATTGGTAAGCAAACCAAATTCAAAATCCCAAGTTTTTATGGTAATCAAAATCTGCATAATTCTTTTAAATATTGTTTGACCAAGTCAAACATCTTCCAAGAACAGTTTAGTTGATACACCCACTATACAAGAATTTGTGTCTGTGTTCTCAGTCAAGGGGACATATGCAATTAAAGCTGATTTTGCATGTTCTGACGAATTGAACTACAATTCACAAAATTTGACATCTGTGACTCTTCTTGCTCACTTGAAGACCATTATTCTAATTCTTCAGTCTCTAGTTCAAGTTTCTTCTTTCTTTCTTCTTGTACTCACGTTTCAAAATCCCTCTCTAAAACTATACAACAAGATGCTCAGGAGATCAAAATCAAAAAGGAAGCAGAAAGGAGAGTCTTCCTCTGCTGGAATGTCTGAGGGTGAGGAAGAAGATGAAGATGAAGATCAGGGCCAAATTCCTTCCTCTCCAGCTGCTGCAGAGGGTCCAGAATCTACCAGTGGTCAAGCTTCATATGAAAATATGGAGATCATCCCCTACATGGAGCAACCTGACCGTGGGACTCCTCTGTCTCAATTTGAAAGGACAATGCTTTCTCAAATGGACACCTTGCAGGAAAACCAGAGAAAGCACATGCAGGTGACCTATCAACATTTTCTACAGACTAATAATCAGTTCACCAATCTTGGACACCAGATTGCTGACATTTACACCAAGTTGGAAGACATGCAGCTGAATCAAGGGAACTGGGATGATTAGATTTATGGATAAAAAGGGTCCTTTCTCATCTTTCTTTTATTGCTTATTTCTTTTGATGCTAATTTTAAATTTCTGGGTCTGTAATATTTACTGGTTATATACCAGACACAATCTCTTTAACTTTAATTAATATAATGTAGGTTTTAAATTC